TCGAATTTTTTAGAATGGGTCGAATACATATGTGAGAGGAATGTAGTTTCGAAATGGGTACTATGCACCTTGTGGATCAGATCTGAGGCGGTATGCTATCATTCCCCCAGGGGACGTGTCCCTGCCGCTGATTCTATCCTATGGTTGGAGGAGAGAGGTTGCTTCATAGGACCCTCCAATAAACGTGTGATGTCGTAGCTACCTTCCCCTGTTGAGGCACTCTTTCCTTGTGCACGGTCGCGCTGCCTGGAATCTAGTATGGCTTTTCTTGTGATGCAACCCTATCTACCCCGACATTAGGATCGAGTCAGGGAGGAAGGGGGAGGCGTCCTTTTGGAAGAAGGGTAGATTACTGCCCGTGGCCACCATTTTTTGCGTTTGGTAAACACAGTTTCCTAAAATAACTTGTGTGTTTATGGGGATGGGGGGGGGGGGGAGATGGGTAGGAGCGCAGAGAACTATAGAGGAAGAACTGAGTACTTATTTTTTTTAACATGAAAAGTTGTTAGAAACTCTCAAATATTGACTTTATGTCTTACATGGGAATTTCTACACAAGCACGTTTGAAGGCCGGCCTATGACGAGTTCATGATTATGGCAAACTCCTATCGCTACGCTCACGCTGAACTAAAGCAAGTGTACTTTGGAGTTGTTGACTACGAGGAGGCCCCCCAGATTTTCCAAGCGGTACGGCAAAACGAATTTTGTTTGAGAATTTTCAGCGAAGTAGGTTATAAATCTTTCATGTTTAGATGAATCTGAACACTGCTCCAATTTTGTACCATTTTGGGCCTAAGCTACAGGGCAAGAAGAAGCCTGACCAGATGGACTTCCAGCGTCACGGGTTTGATGCTGATGCCATGGCACGTTTTGTTGCAGACCAAACCGATGTTCAAGTAAGGACTCCTCATTCTTCTATAATATTTTTGAGCTGTGTATGCGGAATATTCCGGGTTTTTGTGCTTTTTTTCCATTCGATTTTTCGGATTTTTTTTCGAGTCAACATTGTGTTTTGGTTCGAAATCAACAAGTTTTCTATTTGCTACAATTCCTTTCCTCAAAGGTATCTATTATTTGAGATTCGTATCCTTCGCCCACCGAATTACGCAGCACCTGTTGTTATCGTGCTGCTTTTGGCTTTAGTTCTTGGACTACTTTATATGAAGAGAAATAATTTGGAGTTCCTTTACAACCGCACAAGCTGGGGACTTGTATGCTTGGTGAGTGCTAGTTTTATTATACATAAATATAACATACGTATGTGGTTATAATGCTCCGATCACAGAAAATGATTCTTTTCGTTTAGCCTTGTGAAACACTTTGAATCCAATAATCTGCATGTATAATATGAGAAGCGTTGTGAATTTGAAATCCTCTTTTCCCCCTTTTACTCTTTCATTCACCATTAGCTTCTCTTATCACGCCACTTAATGTTTGCTAACAAGGATTCTTCAGTGTATTACATTTGTTTTCCTGTCTGGTCAAATGTGGAACCATATCCGTGGTCCTCCTTTCATTATGAACAATCCACAAACTCGAGAGGCCAGTTTCATTCATGGATCGACGCAGTATCAGGTATGTTCCAACCTTATGCGTTACTCCACCTTATTGAAATTGTCTCTTAAATCAATTGAAGAGCCGTTCTTTATGCTATACGAGTGCTTCCAGCTTGTTGCTGAGACCTACATTGTTGGTGCTCTATACGCCGCCATCACATTTGGTTTCATTCTGCTCAACGAGGCAGCAAGTCCAAGTGTGGAGGTAACCGAGAGGGAAGAAATCGTCCAGCTCGAAGCCATTTTTTCGGAATCAATAACAATAGTGAGTCCATGTAGTCAGTGTTAAAGAAACTTCCAACAGTGAAAGTTATTCTTAAAGTCCGGCTATGCAGTACGTTTTGGTTGGGCCTTGTCCTGTGCATTTCTTCTCGCTATTGCTATGCATCTTCCGCACAAATATAAGAGTGATACCCGTACAGCCCTTATCTCTGTTCAGCTTATATGCAATCTATGCTGAATTAAGAGACCGTTCGGAAAGTATCGGGGTGTCGGGTCGGGCTGCACTTCCTGCTCTGGCGCGAATGTGGAGTAGCTATTGTTAACCTATTTATAAGTATCTGTTTTGCTTGCTCTTATAGGTTTACCTTTCTTTATCGACATATGGGTTATATTGTTTCGTCAAAGGGCGTTTATAAAGCGATGTGATCAATGAAGTTAATTTATAACGCTTTTAGTTAATAAATATTGTTGCTTCAGTATAGAAAGTTTATTTACTTTGGGCTTCGTGCAGTGTTTCGACAGCTGTGCATTCTCGCAACTTCACACAGGCCTTCAAGTTACTGTTTGGAGTGAAGACTTTGACTAACTTATTTATTTAGCTACTTATTCACCACAGGAGGGCGGTCATATCAAAAATGAGGACTTGACAAACGATTCTGCTTACTATTTCCATCTTGACTTTAATAAATACCTACTACCTTCAGGTTCAGTTTGCCCCTTTCCTGAATCAGCTTTGCCTACCAGCGAGTCGAACAGAAGGTATTGCCTTGGAAATGTTGAGGCACAAAAGTTGCAACATTAAACGGCCATATGCTCTATTCTCATCGCGAAGAGGAAGGAGGGAACTCCTTCCGGTCGTTTCTTTCGTTTTATCAGCCAAGGCTGCTCAAGAAAAGACTTGATGCGCTGGAAGTGAAGTATCATGAGGAACGCTTTGAGGGCACGTTTTTCAAAGGGGAACATAGCTCAAGTTTATTAGGTTGAGTAAGGGTGAGAAATCGACTATATGGCGGCGAGGTTTGTTGAAAAGTTGCATGTTTCTGAACCGCATGGGTGTTCTGCCTTCGTCTGCTCTCTCCTGGAGAGTGTCTCGTTCTACTGACTGCTGTGACCTTGAATACTCCATTTTTTATATTACGCGACGCGAGCTGACCTTTTGTTCGACTGAAGCTGGCCATAGCACTAATTCACGTATTTTAATCGTGTATCGTTCGACCTCAAGGCTGACTTAGAGAGGCAGCGATCACCATGGACGCCGGGTCGGATTGGAGAGGAAAGAGGTGCTAACTTGTGCGCCATGGCGAAAATGTGGAAGATTCCGTCAGCAACCCACAAAATGGGCCCCTTCGTTTATCCATTGATTTACGAGTATGGACGATAGTTCAGAAGTGTTAATCCCTGCGACCGACTCCATGCCAAAAGAACCTTATTGATTGATAACACATTGCTTATGGTCAAACAAGGAAAAAGAAACGACCGCTGTGAGTGAAATGCTTTTTCAAAATGAAAAGCGAGCATTGCTGCTACATGCAACACGCTGGTGGGCGGAGCGGTTTTGGGACTTTACGGTTTCTAGGTTTGGAGCCTGATTGTGCTGCAAACAGCCCATCGTTTGTCGCTTAAACGCCAAACCTCGCTTCCTTTACTGCCTGATTCTGTTTCCAGT